TGCTATAAATGCACAAGGTAGTACTTATATACGCTGCAAAATTTCACGTAGTTCTTAATGTGAATATGCGTTTGAATTGAAATTGTGGACATAGTTAAGGTTCCGCAAAGCGTGTTAGTAGAATTCACATGTCTTTTTGAATGGAGTAACGAAAGAAATTACAGATGGTAAGTGGCTACTGTAGTCCATGGACACCTGCAGCATACTTCAAACAAAGAAGGATACAGATGCGTTATCAACTGTAAAAACTAAGACGGATTACAACTTAAATAAAATCTTAATATATATAAATGATGGACTCCTAAACTACCGAACCGTTTTAATCAAATTTTCACACCGTGTGCAGTTTCGTCCAACTTGAGAGATAGGATAGCTTTCTTGTCGATAAGTGACCCACAATTTTTTTTTTGCGAATTTATGGTTTTTTAATAGTACATGGCAAAGCGTCGTCGAAAAGGGCAAGGGAAATGTCGTGAACAACTTCTGCCTGGAAAGCTAGTAACCTATATATAGTAAGAAAGTTTTACCCACCAATAAGAAAGTTTTGTTGTTTGGCGACGCCAAACCCGATTCGCTGTGTTGACGGACTGAATAAATGTACACATTTTAGATTTTTGATTAATGCTCAAGATCATCATTTAAAAAAATCGTTTAAATTTTAATACATATTTATTTGTAAATATGGTGCAATTTGGCATTTTCTACATAATTTACTTGCGAAATTTGGAATTGATTGTAACGTCACATCTCGTGTTGACGTTTATACGTGTGAATTGACGTGTTAGTGACATTTTAGTGGCTACGCGGGCTCCGCCCACTCCCCCGTTCTGTTATGTATGTATTATAGTATTCTATAGTTTTACCTTTTACAAATGGCTTTATCAATATTTTAAAATGTTTTAAAAGCAACTCATGACCCGTGTGACTTACACGTGCATTGAAGTAAATGGTTTATTATAAAGAATAACAATCTGTGTACTGAGTACCACAAGGGATTTATTGTTTTGGAAGTTCCATGATAAGGAAGATAAACAAGTTGTTTCATTATGTGGGTTGTTTTTTTTTGGTTTTTCTCTGTAGTTGAGTAGAATGACATCGCAATAGAATTAATAAAAGACATATTGGCACAGTAATGTTTCCGTTTTTAATGTGACAACGTTCTATTGGCGATAAAGTAATCTGTCACCTAAACTGACCGCAAGCTCTAGTAGTCAGTCTCTATGGTCAGAGTACCCAGCTAGTACTGCACCGTGTTGTTGCCTTGCATTAGAAATCTTTCTTTTTTCACTAAACTAATAAAGTCATCCGGAACCGAATGCCGGTCACGGTGGCCGGTCTCAACGTAAACTCTGCGCAGGACAGGATTATAGGGCTAGAGTGTAAGTAAGCGCAAGCGCATGTGCACTTTCCACTCCTTTCACTATTTCCTTACTCTTGTAGTCTAATTGGACGGTATCCGACTCGACTGAAGAGAGTTCAGGTGCGGGATCAACGGCTGTACGTGCCTTTCTAGGCATGGTAGTGAAACACCCCCAACTTCCTAACTGCGGGCTGCTTTGAAAATGTTTTTATCTTTGAATTTGTAACCGGTTTTACGACTACTAAGCCAACGAGGCAGTCACATTATCTCGCTATGTATCTGAAGTCATTAGATACAGAAATCATTTCTCCGTTGAAGAAGTTGCTAAAATTTAACTCTTACGACATCTGCAAACGAAATGAATCATTAAAAGGTAATCAAAAAAGTCATTTAAATGTATACCGAAAAATTACCTAATTACAATGGGGAAGGCAGTGAACTATTGATAGATTGTAATAGTAACGATGACGAATAAAAAGATATGTTAATATATTTCTGCCTATATTTTAGTTTTCTTGTTAGTCCCACAGCTGTACTTATGCCCCATCACATTTCCCGGGAATGTAAGGCAGGAATGAGTCTACTGCGCAGTCTCTATACGAGTTGGCGGATTTCAAATATTTTCAAATACTCAGAATAGAATATAAAAAGAGGAAATAATTTTAATTGCAAATGCTATGAAGTAAAGCTGTGCATTGCTAGAAATTTTTAATTTATCCTCAGAATATGTTATGGCATTATACTCACCCCACATATATATAAAATAAAACTAATGGGTACATAAAATATGCGGAGTTATCACATTAAACATAATAATACAGGATGTGTAAAATCTTGTAAACAAATAACATATAACATAAACACTCATGCCTGTCACCCAGAGGGGTAGGCAGAGACTACAGACTTCCATTTAGCACGATCCTGACATACCTTTCTCGCCTCTTCCACATCCATATACCTACGCATACATGCTCGTCGGTTAAGGGTACTCTTAATTTGGCGCATTTTTAGTATATCGCCAATTTGGTCGACAAACTTCCGCCTAGGACGTCCCTTTCCGACTCTTCCATTCACTTCTGCAACATATATTTGCTTTGTCAGTCTTTCCGCATTCATTCTTTCTACATGACCAAACCACCGAAGCATTCCTTTCTTAATCCTGGTCACCGCATCATCTTGCAAACCACACTCTTCTTTTATCACACAGTTTCTCACCCTGTCACTCAGATTCAGCCCTAACATACTCCTTAGCGACCGCATTTCTACTGCATTTATTCTACTCTCGTGCTTCTTCTGCCACACCCAACTTTCACTACCATACGTTAAAGTAGGGACTAATACAGCACTGTGAATTGCCATACGTGCCTTTTTTGACACATTCTGATTTTTCACAATAGAGTGTAGAGCCCCATTTACTTTAAAAAAAGTAAACAAATAAATAAATATAATTTTCAAATTAAAATATATATTGATTGTACAGTGTATTAATTATGATAAAATAAAAAGTACAAGCTTAATATTACAGAATTGAATATATACTATTTAATACGAGTACCTTGAACATTTACTGGGAGAATATTGTCCCTACCACTGAATTGTAGGACATCTTTTCTGTCCAGGAGTCCGTCTGAGATGGTACCATTCCCTTACCTATTTATAAAGGTCATGGACCGTTACGTATGATAATTTATCGTTCTGTAAGGGGCCGTAAGGATCGATCTAACAGAAATTAAAAAATATATGAACATAAGTCTCCGATGGATATCTAATCTAATAACTCGTATATAGAAATGTGCTAGATAGAGAGCCAGTATAATGAAATGGTTAGAACTTACCGTAAATAAATTTCAGCCATAATTATAACGAAGCTCATTATCCGAGGACGTGTTACAAATTATTGTATTTTATGTACTTGTTGCCGTGGAAGGAAAAGGGGAGATCTCCCGCCGGGCAAGGTGTTCTGCCCGGGGAGCGACCAACACTCCGTGTGATAGTTCGGCGAAGTTCTATATATACTGTTTATGATTCCGAATTTTGATAGCTCGATTTAGGCTTCGATGTGTTTCGCTTGCGGCGCGACGACAGCGCCGCCACATCACCCCCCTGCTCAGACCGGAGGTCGATAGTGCAGCCTCGTTGCCGACGAATGTGCAAGTGCCAGGAGATTTGCCTTGTAGTCTGCGGTGAGTCGAGAAGAAGGCAAGTAATCTGCGAGAGTGCCGTGAAGCAGAGGCGAGCAGTGAGGCTCAGAGCCGTGCCGAACACTGTATAGCGCAGAAAGTAGCTTGAAGGAGCAGGAAGCGTTATTATTCCATAGCTGCGATGAACCTTGTAAAGCTAGATGGCTTGCAGGATGTGAAGACTGCAGACGATATTTGCTCGGGAGTGAATGGGTGGGGTATTTTATGACGATGATGAAGCTTGAAGTTTCCGAAGGTTGTTGATTGCGTGTTCAGATCACGTCGGTTAGTCATCACTGTGGCCGTGGAAGGAAAAGGGGAGATCTCCCGCCGGGCAAGGTGTTATGCCCGGGGAGCGGCCAACGCTCCGTGTGATAGTTCGGAGAAGTTCTATATATACTGTTTATGATTCCGAATTTTGATAGCTCGATTTAGGCTTCGATGTGTTTCGCTTGCGGCTGATTGCATACTGATTCATGTAAATTGTTGTGATGGCATTTGCATGAATGTATATACTACAATTTGTAAAACCGCTTTGGACAAGGAGAGAGTGTAATTATATCCTGTGAGGCATTTCAACGTAGTCCTTAGGTGTGACAAGGCATTCTATAGTCTGCTTTGTTTTAATTTGGCTGCAGATGTTCATGAGCTGCAGTATTCACCTACCATCAAATAGACTGTAAGTACGGTTGTTACATTTATTTTTGGTATAAACAGTAAAATATGTGAAAAATGAAACAGAAACAAAGCGCGTTAAGTTATTTAATTTCTGCAACTATAAGCAGCGATGGAAGAAATCGCCCAGGCGCTGCCTGAGCTGTCACAAAAAGGACTACAGGACCTTAACCTAAGATGAAGTTTCGGAAAGCAGTGACCTCGAATAAGGTGACAGTTCTAAGCCACCACATAAAATATTTTGCACATTTTATGTGGTGGTTTTTTATAGAAAAGGACTTTTACTTTTACATAAATGACAGTAATTGCAGGTATGTTCCGCTCCTTCAGAGGGAATTAAGCTCGTATCCTGTTGAAAGCTCCTTTAGTCATAATATCGTCACATTTTCTCTCTTTTTATGTATCTCACTCTCTGATAATAGTTTAAACTGTCGCTTAATAGCTAGATAATATATTAATAAATTTATAATTTATATATGGCACTACTAAAAGTTAAAATTAGAAAATATCAATTATTACAAAATGTCAACTTTAATTGCTGTTATTATGTCGTTACAATTAATATTTTATAAATTCAAATTTATTGTAACATGCTAATTCGTTTTCAGTTGACCATCATGAGTGAAATTTGGATTTTATACAACCAAACGTCAATATTAGTATTTTTAATTAAAAATGTACACAACCTGTATTAGCCGGTTATTCCTCTTTATTGTTAGATAACAAAGTTATATTTAAGTGGAGAATCGGCTTCACGTTTCGTAGTCTTCGCTTTTTGCATCAAGATGTTTAATCAATTGTTCATCTTCTTCCTCGGTAAGCTATTGCAAGATTCACATTATTTGAAAAATATTTTATAGAATAAATAACTTTCAACATAATATATTTGTGTAATTGTTCATGGGGGGGTATATATATATATCCTTCACTGCTGGCCGTATGAGGACGCTCAAGGTCGCTCAGCGAGCTATGGAGAGGGCTATGCTCGGAGTTTCTCTGCATGATAGACTCAGAAATGAGGATATCCGCAGTAAAACCAGAGTGACCGACACAGCCCAACGGATTAATAAGCTGAAGTGGCAATGGGCCGGCCATATAGCTCGAAGAACCGATAACCGATGGGGAAGAAAGGTTCTCGAGTGGCAGCCTCGTACCGGTAGGCGTAGTGTAGGGCGACCCCCCACTAGATGGAGTGACGACCTGGTAAGATATGCAGGAAGTCGATGGATGCAGGTGGCTCAGGACCGTGGTTTGTGGCATTACTTGGGGGAGGCCTATGTTCAGCAGTGGACTTGTGAAGGGCTGTAATGATGATGATGATGATAATATATTTCATTACCTATATCTTCTTCTACATAATCAACAGCCTGTAAAACTGGACATGAGCCTCTCCCGTGGTACGGAGGTTCTTGGGTTGACCATCGCAGTACCAGTCGTCTCGCGTCTTTGTTGCTGCTGTCCGTAACCGATCTGGGTATTTTTTTACATGTGGTGTAAAAGAGATGGTTTACCACCATTTATTGGAAGACATAACATTGTTCTGACATATCATTTAATAGGCTCTTTGATACCCATGAATTGGAGCGATTAAAAGTCACACCACTTACATTTTTTTATCTTACATTCTAATTATTTGCAGGTATTATCGTTGTGAGTGCCTCACATAACGTTAATTTCTTTAGACGAGACTACAAATTTTTAGAAGAATATAACGCATTTTACAAATTGCACTGGGCTGATGATGTGGGTACGTGGGACGAAGCATTTTTAGCATGCAACGATGAAGGAGCCAGCTTGTTTTATCCCGAAGATGTCGATGAATGGCAAGTTCCGAGAAACTTATCCGATTCGCCCGACTTGGAAGGAATCTTTGTTGGTGTACATGACGAATTAGGACGCGGAGATTTACTCTCTTTTGACGGTAAGTATATTATAATTATTTTTAATAAGCGAAAATGTTCCAAATAAAGCAACTTTTTGTCCTCGAAATGTGGCACGCTTATTTCGTGCTGGACAAATATGCAAGCAGCGGAGAAAAAAGCGCTTTAACGTGAGATATACTCTAATAAATTACGTACATTTTATTGAATTAATAGATGATAGATTATTTAAAATACTAACAGTGATATTAACAATACAAATAACTTACCCCTCCTACAGTATTTAAGACATTAGTGAGGAAATGCGGATTCGAAAGCTTGAATTTTAAATTCGCTACTATCGGATATCTATAGTATGATTCCCGTTTATCGGGAATTAAAAAAATAAGTAAATAATAATTATAGACTAATGACTGTCACGAACCATTCCCATCACAAGCATTTTAAGAACACTTGGCCACTCCAAGTTTAACATGACATTAAAAAAAAGTTTTCGGTTTTAAAAAAATAGTTGTTAAACAAAAATTCCTAAAAAGAAACTAAAAAATGTATCTTTGGTTGCGTTAATATCTGCAAAAACTTTTGAATAAAAATAATTGAATTTTGCACTATAATATTTTTTTATTTTTCTCAGGACATTTTCTTCCAGAATTTTCCGAATTACACGTTAATAATCAAGATGACTCCGAACCTAAATGCGTAGTTATGTCGGTTAACACGGGCAGGTACAACATCGGTTCGTGTAAAAATAGAAGACCGTTTATTTGCAAGAAAAAAAATAATGAATATTGTCCTACTATTGATTCAGGTTAGTCTCTTACATATTATTTTTTTAACATAGCCAAATATATTCTTACTTCAGTTTAAAATCTGTTCGACAAAAATTGATAAAAATGTTATGTAAACGTAGCGCCATAGTCACTATCTTTTAAATATCGCAATCTGTTGACGGGTGCTGTTGTCCAGGTATGTCCAGGAGGTATGCGGCTGCTTTTTTATTATATAACAACAAAAACAATTAGCGGGTCGCAATTTGTAACGAGTTCAGAAACCATGTTTTTTATCAACTCTCGATGAAACAGACCATAGGTTTATTTAAAGAACTTATGGTTATAAACGTCAAAATCTAACAACGATTTGAAAAAACCAGCGAGAAAGTACGCATTTATATAATTAAGAGCCCGCACGTTCCATCTGCGCGCTGCAGCAACTGGATGAGTGAAGGGGAAAGTGTCTTGGAAGAATGTCTATCAGTGGACTGCCGCAGTCTGAGAATAACTATCACATTATTTGTATATAATGTAAATAATACGTTTTTAATTATTCAAATATTGAGATATTCTGTCAGAAAATTTTTAATAGTTGTCCGGAGTCAGAAATTTAGTCATGTTTCACCCCTTTACCTGGTCCTGCGTCTGATCTCTCTTCTCCGGTCGTGTTGTTTTAGGGTTCCATCGGACTATGAGAGTGAAGGAATAGAGAGGAAACCTCTGCTTGCACATACATTTGGGCAGTATAATCCTGTCCCCCGCACATGGCTAGTCTTTGTTAAGGCTGGGCTCCGTGAGCGATCTAGGGGACATTATTATTATATATATTTATTTATCTATTCGTTTATATACATTTCACTATGAACTACCTAAACCTGCATTAAAATGGATTGCAAAGGGCATAGTTAATGCTTTTTAGATTCTCTGCTACAAAACGACCAGTGACGAAATATTGTAGAAGGTGCTAAAACATAAAGACCACTTTGGTCTAAATTACTACCTCTTCAATATAAAAACTGAAAGTTTTTTTCAGGGTACATATACTCAAAAACTACAAAGAAATGCCACAAAGTCCACAAAAGAGAAACAACTTGGGTAGACGCCATGCACACATGTTACATGGAAGGTGGCATATTGTCAACTGCCATACACATCTCGGAAATAAATGATATATTGAACATGCTTACAGAAGGGCAACAATTCTTCATGGGATTTAGAAGGATCATGCCACATAACGACTTATATTCCGTTCGAGGTAATCTTTAAATATTTTAATTCTTCTTTTCCTTATAGTAGATGGTTCTTTCTATTATGAATATTATTTCTGCAGTGGAGACAGAGAAACCGACACAGCGTGAATCATAATTGTAAACCTAATTTGAATTTGTTAGTTTCAATAGTGTTAAACTTTTTTTTTATTATATGCGATCAGCTATGCAGGTTTAGGTAAAAAGACTAGTATCACTGCGACCTAAAAGATCTATTGTGATCGCTGCTATGGCTATAGTACACTGCTATGCCCTATGTCTTCAATGAATCGAAGGAGTTGCTTAGCCGTGAGCAATTTCACTTCTTCTGGGCGGAGAAGATAGTGTCCCAGATGAGTGTTACGTTTGCGCATTAAGGGTCCGCAATCGCTTAGGATGTATAGAGGCGTTTCTTCCGTTATGGAACAGAACCGACACATCCTTGAGTTGCTTAGTCCCAGGATGGACATGTGCTTTTTAAGACAACAGTGTCCAGTTAGGGTTCTTGCCAGAATGCGCAATTTATTTTTATTTAATCCCGGAGATTCTGAAGCGAATTTACGATCAAAAGCCCGGATTAAGGTTTTAGAATGTTTTAAGCCTTTTCAGACCAGATCTTAAGAGATATATTGTGATAAAGAGTTTCAAGGGTCAATCGGGCTAGGCTTCTTGAGATTCCACAAAATGGCTCGGGTCTAAATAGTGTGCACTTTGAGCCCTCCCGTGCAAGTTTGTCGGCAAATTCGTTGCCTACAATACCCTCGTGACCCGGAACCCATCTTAAAACGACCCTGTTGTTACAACCCAGGGCGTTTAAACGGTTCACGCAGTCTCCAACTAGCTTTGAATTCACTAAGTTTGATCTCAGCGCTAGCCTAGTGCTGCTTGACTACATTATAGGATTATCGCGTATTTATTTATTTTTTATTATTTTATTTTTGATTATTTTAATCATGTATAGTGTTCTAAATTAAAAAATCATTATATCAGAGTTTATGTAAATTTTTTTGGTTGACGTAGTGTTTTTGCAGATTGATTTCCGCACACAGAAGTAGGGCGAAAACTTCTGCCTGGAAGATAGAGGTGTATCCACCCAAATTCATACTAAGTTTGAATTTGGGGCGTTCCCCGTAAATTCCAAAGCCTACGTCGAGGCCCATTTTATACCCACTATATACTTTTTATCAAAAGTGTGTAGTGGACGCATGATATCTGAGATCATGCATAAGACCGGTGATTCCCTAATTGAGTCGAGCATGGATCTCAATCTGTAGGAGAGCAAGCTCAGACCGCCCTGGGAGTCAATCCTATACAAACTAGCCCTCGCCTCCTTGTCTAGATAGAGATTAAGGGGCGTTAGGCATAGAAGTGCATTAAGAGCCGCTCTAGGCGATGATCGCATAGCTCCAGTTGCCATTAGGCAGGCAGTCCTTTGTAGATTATTTAGTCTGTCCGCAGTCGTCGTAGTGTTAAACTTGGTCCGTTTCTCGTTTTAATTTTAATTATATTTTTCATATACAAATCAAGGAATGTAGGTAGGGTGCAATAAGTTTCTCATTTTTCTCATTGTTTATTAAGTACGAAGTCCTAGAAGAACAACTCAGCAGATATATTTAGCGTGCAGCTACCTTCAAAAGCCACTATCATCAGTTGGGCTACAAGGCACGGTTCTTAGCCACCTGAATCTATTAACTTCCTGCATATCTTACCAGGTCTTCACTCACTAGTGGGGAGCCGCCCCTCACTTCGCTTACCGATGTGAGGTTGCCACTCGAAAACCTTTCTTTCTATCAGTTCTAAAATAAACTTTATTAATTAATTACTAAATATCAATTTAATTTTAATATTGCTGTATGATGGCGGCGTAAAATAATCCAATGCCTCATAACATGGCGTGGTTGTATCATATGAGGCAACAGATTAAAATTGGGATTAATTCTGGCAGCAGAATATTGCTTACAACAGCTTAAAGTAATTGAAAAATTGAGCTTACTAACCCCAAGTGTAGAACTACTTTAAATATCTCATATATAATGATGGAGGCCGATGTTCAGCAGCGGACAGATAGGCTGCTATCATGATGATGAAGAGGTAACGAGGAACTCTCCGGTAATCCTCAGGTATGATGACGTATTGTAGTTGTTACCTATCTTTGATAGATATCGGTGTCTACGGCCCACATAATTTACATACCATCGGGTGAACTTTGCTCCGTGCTCGCATAACAATAATTAAAAGCTGTGAGATCACTAGAGCTCATGGAACTCACAGGCTAAGCGTTCGCCGTAAAACGCGAGCTATCAGGGCTAGATACCATCGTCATTACAGTCTATCAAAATTCCTCTGCTCAACATGGACTTCCAGAAACCACCCAGCTTTTTTAGTTGTTATTAGGAAGACGCTGCCGCCCATCTCTTGGTCTGTTTCCCTCTGTCGCCTCTTATGACACTCACGGAACAATATGGGGCAATGGATCTTACGCCGCACTTATACGCTGAACACTCACATCATTTATCAATGATATTATATACCTTAACAGAACAGGAACAATGATATTATATACCTTATTCAAAACACCGCTCAAAAGTGCACGCACTGCTGTTTAGCGGAAAACATCGGTAAGAGGGTTATACCTGCCCAGACAGATTCGTAGGCAGGAAAGGAATCCTACCACCTACTTAGTAGCTTTGTAGTCTATGTTGCGTCACGTACGACTTTTTCCTTAAATTTGTCGAAATATGTATTGATAAATCCACACCGAAAATAACAAATACCGACTTCTTAGTGTCGCGTTGAGAATCGAACTCAGGTTGATTTCGTTTTAAGGAAACTTTAAGGCGAGTGTTTATCTCGATGTACCTAACATTATTGAATGAATAATTACCGCAATTTTTCCAGGTGAAAAAATTGATATTTTCGCAAGAAATGAAGAAAACTGCGGTGTAGTGGCGGTAAACGGACGTAACGACGATTGTTACAATTGTAACCAAAATAACCACAACGTTAAATATTCTACACATGACTGCAATAGCACCTTGCCATTTATTTGTGAACTTGAAGTAAAATTGTAAACTCAATGTTCCAACAATTTATTCTTAGTTACACCAATATCAATTTATTCTTGCATAATAATATTAAAGATTGAATAAAATAAAATTGTTTCATCTTTTCGAACTCGTTTGCCGAGCTTGGCTACTATGGCAAAATCCCCCTATAACGACTTTAATAGGCAATAATGAATGATCCACGACCCCTCATTATATAGTCGTGGGTGTAGTAAGGGGCGACCATTTATTTTATATATTAAAACTTATAGTTGTAAGTTTTTGTTTTACTATCTCCATTTTTATTTATATTATTATCTCTATACACAAGGAATAAAAATATAATTCCCAACTATAATATGAAATACAGCTTTCTATAATGTGAATTACTGTCTTTGACCACTATACGTCCACTTGTTACAATAATTATCCCACTTATTATTACGAAGAGTCATAAATAATTTTCTAAGTGCAATAAGTTACTTTCCAACGACCAGCTCAGCTATTTGCTATACTCGATAATGAAATTTGAAAAAGTAGGAGCTTCATGTCACGTACACCAAACATTTCAATAAACTACGCCCTACACTACTCTCTGCCCTACACTTCGATTGTATTGTACGACATTGCTACCCAAGAATTTTTATTCCCTACGTTTTCATTAATTTCTAATAAAATTTAATAATATAAATTTTTGATTTAATTAATTTCACTCCTAGTTTCTTTTGATAATAATGTGAAATAATGAAGCTCATTAACAAGACTTACTAAACTATATAGTGTGATGTGGGCTTTAGAGAATCCATCCCCCACTTGGCCCCATAGGAGCTGTAAGAGGCGACTATGGGATATTACAGAACGTTCTCATGGCATCCAATAGATGGCGGTGTTAACATCATGTTGTAACCAAAAAATAATAATCTTAACAAATACTTAAAAAAGAAACATAGCAACAAAATTAGGAGAGTAATAGAGTTACCGCAGCGCTGATATTTCATGGCGATTAACTTAAATACTCTTTACAACCAAGTCGAAGCACGTGATCAGTAGTGAAATTCACGGGCTCGTAAAGATAAAAAAGGTTAAAATAAGTGGAGGGCTCCTTGAGAGACGAACAAGATTACTATCCATCTAACGATAAGTAGCTATTTTTATACGAGGAAATGCCTACACTTGCTTTCGGACTCTTCACATTAGTTCAGCCAAGTGAATTCCTCTCTGTTTACTGTGGGTGACTAAGCCATGGTTATTAATATGTCCTTCCGCGACGGCAAAATGGAATCCTGTTCGGGGAAACTTGAAGTATCTACTGCAGCCCATGGATACCTGCAACAAACTTCAAACAAAGAAGACTACGGGTACGTTACCACCTCTAAGGACTTAGATAAAATGTCTCACCACTTGTAATTGTACTGGTTCATAAAACTGAAACACAGCACTTAGATACACTTACAAATTTTTATTTCTACAAATGGACTCCTGGGCCTACCTATTGCTACCTGCCCAACCTATACTACTCGAGGCCTTCCGGTAATTTGTGACCTGTGACTATATTCCTCTATATCAACTTGTTATCAGGAAGGTGCTGTTGCCAATAAGAACAGTAAAAACTTTGGTTGTTAACCAGCCTACCAAGCGTAGCAACTATAGCAAACATATATATTGTCGATAAGTCAATATATGCCTACATAGGCATATGTTCAACAGTGGACTTATTTGATGTTTAAAATTTACTACGCGTTAAAAGGAGTACTACAAATAAACGCGAAATTACGAGGTTTCCTCGTTGAAATTATATGTTTTCCGTTCGTTGCTTGAAATGACAATTACTTGTTAAAAATAGTTCGTTTTCTGTACTACAATAAACTCAGAAAAAATTTTAGTTAAGTTTTATCTACCTAGTATCCTATACTTAAATAATGATAGTATACATTTTTGTTATATGCCTTTCACGTAAGGAAAAAAATCGACATAATTAAATTAACAACCGAAAAAGCTTGGATACAAGCCCCAATATCTCCGAAATTCTACATCATTTTGACGTAAAATTTATACCAAAATAATTTATTAAAACTAATTTTACGGATTTTATCGCGTTTAGTTTTAATTTTAATATAATATTGATTTTAATTATTTTTATTTCTCGACGTTTGGGGTGCTTTCCAGCTGGGTGCTGGAAAGCACCCGAAACGTGGTCACGGGGGGGACTGAGGTGACTAACGTCCCGTTGTCATTGTTAAATCCGGAGTACCTTCAGCTTTTTTAATTATTGTTTATGGTCCGATCTATGCAAAATGAACTGACTATGTCTTGAGGTCGTGCAGTGGTATAATTTTATTAATTATGGGTTCACAAGCAGGTGGTAGTACCCAGCCCCCTTCTCTATTGAAATTAGGATGTTTTTTTTTAATTTCAATAGCCTCACGTATCATCCTTGGTAGGAATCGGTGTTCTTTCGCTAGGATTTGTGGTCTATCAAATCTGATGTAATGGTTGGGGCCGTCTAGGATATGACCGTGACCATGGGTGCTGGAAAGCACCCGAAACGTCGGGAATTAAAAATAAAAATAATTAAAATTAAAATTAAACGCGATAAAATCCGTAAAGGTAGTTTTAATCAATGTGCAGTGTTCGCGTAAATATAAGAAATCATTACCAAAATAATTATCAACATTTGCTTAAACTATACTATTATTTTTACTTTTCAAATCGTTACTATTATTTTAATTAATTAAATAAAACTACCATATATTTCCCCTCCGGCCATCTGAAATCATTTGATTTGTTTTATGAGTCATCAGATCATTTGATGAGTTTGACCTGTCATTTGATTTCGCGCGCTCCGTCTCGTTTCGATATTATTGTAGTGTGTTGTGTATCGATCGCCATAGGCGCTGCTATTTTAGCCTAAGTTCAGAAATAGAAGTCAACTACGATCGCAGTTCTTGATCGTTGGAAGTATTTACTTACGTACAGTATATTTCAATTAGTATAAAGTTCGCACATTATTTATGGGGAGTTTTATCGGTGGGTGACTATTATACCAGATACTTAACTCATTACGAGTATAGTTATTTTGATTGTAGCTGAGCTTTCTTACCAGTCGTAATGAGGAAAAATAAATACAAGTATCAATGTGTCACTAAACGTAAAAAAAGAAATATCCTATCTTTGGAGACATAATAATGGAGAATAAAAATGTCTGCATGCTTGCCATATTATGGACTGGCCCAGATTATGCAGTAAAAGTACTAAAAATCTACAAAGCCGACAAATTTTGGATTTTGAATATGTTGTCCAAGTTACAAGCGTTTTATAAAGTTTGTACTGCCTGAAATTATTGTCTCGAATTAAGCTCAGTCAATGCCGTTGAGGCAAATATTTTTGGAATAAAAAAAATACGGTAATTGACTGTATGTTTCGATTAAAAAATATTAGTTACATTTGGTTGTTTTATTTATTAAAACAGGTTCCAACCGTACTTTTTATTTATTTATACCACTATGCTACCGTTAGTAGAGATATTCCAACATCGGTTAAAATATTTATGTGTACTTATTTCAACATTAAGGTTCATAAATAATTAAAAATATATCAAATAGATTATAATAAATTAATTAGATAACATAAAAATGACACACCAACCTTGGTGAATTTTGATCAGCCATAATATTTTTTTTAGAAATATTATATTTGTAAAATAATAAAAAATATAAAATATTATATATTTTTAATTTTTTTTAGAAATATTATAGCCGACCAAATTTCACCAAGGTTTTAATACTATAATCGCAAAAGTTTTCGTCAAAGTGCTGTAGTTTCGGCAGTCAGTAGAGTAACTCCCTGATGAGGAGCAGTTTTTGAAGATCTGAAATTTTCTCCATACTATCTGTCAGACACCGATAAAACTCCCTATAAATCATTTTTACCGCCGATGGCTCCTTCTTGGAGTACAATTATGTCAATGAGTGAGTCAGTCAGTCAGTAAGTGAGTGGGTTTGTAAAACTGTAATTTCGATTTCAAATTATAATTACAAAATAGATTAATACACTAATGTAATAGAACGACTGTTCGTTTACACAAATAATAATAACACAATAAATAGTCGATAAAATCAAAAAATGGTCCAAACACGAACCGACGAGATATTTAGGTAGTCATCGGTGGGGTTATCTATTTTCCCAGGGGTAATGTTAATATTTCTATCACCGGTTAGGACGATATTTTTACATGTGCTAAGTTTGTTTAAGGTAATATCAAAGGACTCCAGAAATATATCTATATTTTGAGAAGGAGGTCTGTAAATTGCAATTACAATCGTCTCGGAACTAATTCGAATGATCCTGGAATGTAGGCTCCGTGACAGTTACTTTTAAATTATTTTTAACGTCGTCATTTTGATTAATGTTTTCTCAATTTTGTGTAAAGAATAGCCATTTAATAGCAATTTACGTGGTAGAGCCATGCTGCAGTTATATTAGTAGTATAGTTGTAGCACGAATGGGTCGGCTCGACCGGGGAAGGACCACGCTCTCACAGAATACCAGCGTGAAATGGTAGCTTGATGCTGCTGTGTTTCGTATGGTGAGTGTAGAGAACCGGAGACCCTTTTTACTGGAAATGAGGCGTTCCATCTCGGTCCTTACGGGTGACAACGCATCTGCATTTTGATTCGTAATCGAAGATAAATGTAGATGTCTATGGGCCACAGCAAACACTTACCATCAGGTGAACTGTATGCTCCTTTATGGTTGTGCCTATCCTATAAAAAAATCTAGGAACGGTAGGTGGGGTGGGAGGTTTGACAGCCAACATTCTATAAAGACAATAATATGACATTTTATATCCAGTATATGCAACAAAACTTCAAACCCGGTTAAGTTTCGATTTATGCTTCTGATGTTTTGTGTAAGATTTACTTATTTTCAGGATGAGGGAGGAAGTGTTTATAGTCTTCAACATTACATGTTTTAGCGTCAGACATAGAAACGTTGACTAGGTCATTGAGTATATAAGATTGAGAGTA